GTCTGCGGCGATGTCTCGGTCTGCGGCGGTGTCTCGGTCTGCGGCGATGTCTCGGTCTGCGGCGATGTCTCGGTCTGCGGCGGTGTCTCGGTCTGCGGCGGTGTCTCGGTCTGCGGCGGTGTCTCGGTCTGCGGCGGTGTCTCGGTCTGCGGCGGTGTCTCGGTCTGCGGCGATGTCTCGGTCTGCGGCGATGTCTCGGTCTGCGGCGGTGTCTCGGTCTGCGGCGGTGTCTCGGTCTGCGGCGGTGTCTCGGTCTGCGGCGGTGTCTCGGTCTGCGGCGGTGTCTCGGTCTGTGGCGGTGTCTCGGTCTGCGGCGTGGTCTCGGTCTGCGGCGACAGCTGCTCGTACATCAGACAGTCATGGGTTCTAGAGCACAGAGAGAGCCACGACAGCTGCTCGTACATCAGACAGTCATGGGTTCTAGAGCACACAGAGAGTCATGACAGCTGCTCATACATCAGGCAGTCATGGGTTCTAGAGCACAGAGAGAGTCATGACAGCTGCTCATACATCAGGCAGTCATGGGTTCTAGAGCACAGAGAGAGCCACGACAGCTGCTCGTTCATCAGACAGTCATGGGTTCTAGAGCACAGAGAGTCATGACAGCTGCTCGTACATCAGACAGTCATGGGTTCTAGAGCACAGAGAGTCATGACAGCTGCTCGTTCATCAGACAGTCATGGGTTCTAGAGCACAGAGAGAGTCATGACAGCTGCTCATACATCAGGCAGTCATGGGTTCTAGAGCACAGAGAGTCATGACAGCTGCTCGTACATCAGACAGTCATGGGTTCTAGAGCACAGAGAGAGTCATGACAGCTGCTCATACATCAGGCAGTCATGGGTTCTAGAGCACAGAGAGAGTCATGATAGCTGCTCATACATCAGGCAGTCATGGGTTCTAGAGCACAGAGAGAGTCATGACAGCTGCTCATACATCAGGCAGTCATGGGTTCTAGAGCACAGAGAGAGTCATGACAGCTGCTCATACATCAGGCAGTCATGGGTTCTAGAGCACAGAGAGAGTCATGACAGCTGCTCGTACATCAGGCAGTCATGGGTTCTAGAGCACAGAGAGAGTCATGACAGCTGCTCATACATCAGGCAGTCATGGGTTCTAGAGCACACAGAGAGTCATGACAGCTGCTCATACATCAGGCAGTCATGGGTTCTAGAGCACACAGAGAGTCATGACAGCTGCTCATACATCAGACAGTCATGGGTTCTAGAGCACAGAGAGAGCCACGACAGCTGCTCGTACATCAGACAGTCATGGGTTCTAGAGCACACAGAGAGTCATGACAGCTGCTCATACATCAGGCAGTCATGGGTTCTAGAGCACAGAGAGTCATGACAGCTGCTCATACATCAGGCAGTCATGGGTTCTAGAGCACAGAGAGAGCCACGACAGCTGCTCGTACATCAGACAGTCATGGGTTCTAGAGCACAGAGAGTCATGACAGCTGCTCGTTCATCAGACAGTCATGGGTTCTAGAGCACAGAGAGAGTCATGACAGCTGCTCATACATCAGGCAGTCATGGGTTCTAGAGCACAGAGAGTCATGACAGCTGCTCGTACATCAGACAGTCATGGGTTCTAGAGCACAGAGAGAGTCATGACAGCTGCTCATACATCAGGCAGTCATGGGTTCTAGAGCACAGAGAGAGTCATGATAGCTGCTCATACATCAGGCAGTCATGGGTTCTAGAGCACAGAGAGAGTCATGACAGCTGCTCATACATCAGGCAGTCATGGGTTCTAGAGCACAGAGAGAGCCACGACAGCTGCTCGTACATCAGACAGTCATGGGTTCTAGAGCACAGAGAGTCATGACAGCTGCTCGTTCATCAGACAGTCATGGGTTCTAGAGCACAGAGAGAGTCATGACAGCTGCTCATACATCAGGCAGTCATGGGTTCTAGAGCACAGAGAGTCATGACAGCTGCTCGTACATCAGACAGTCATGGGTTCTAGAGCACAGAGAGAGTCATGACAGCTGCTCATACATCAGGCAGTCATGGGTTCTAGAGCACAGAGAGAGTCATGACAGCTGCTCATACATCAGGCAGTCATGGGTTCTAGAGCACAGAGAGAGTCATGACAGCTGCTCTCATACATCAGGCAATCATGGGTTCTAGAGCACAGAGAGAGTCATGACAGCTGCTCATACATCAGGCAGTCATGGGTTCTAGAGCACAGAGAGAGCCACGACAGCTGCTCGTACATCAGGCAGTCATGGGTTCTAGAGCACAGAGAGAGTCATGACAGCTGCTCATACATCAGGCAGTCATGGGTTCTAGAGCACAGAGAGAGTCATGACAGCTGCTCATACATCAGGCAGTCATGGGTTCTAGAGCACAGAGAGAGTCATGACAGCTGCTCGTACATCAGACAGTCATGGGCTCTAGAGCACAGAGAGTCATGACAGCTGCTCGTTCATCAGACAGTCATGGGTTCTAGAGCACAGAGAGAGTCATGACAGCTGCTCATACATCAGGCAGTCATGGGTTCTAGAGCACAGAGAGTCATGACAGCTGCTCGTACATCAGACAGTCATGGGTTCTAGAGCACAGAGAGAGTCATGACAGCTGCTCATACATCAGGCAGTCATGGGTTCTAGAGCACAGAGAGAGTCATGACAGTTGCTCATACATCAGGCAGTCATGGGTTCTAGAGCACAGAGAGTCATGACAGCTGCTCGTACATCAGACAGTCATGGGTTCTAGAGCACAGAGAGAGTCATGACAGCTGCTCATACATCAGGCAGTCATGGGTTCTAGAGCACAGAGAGAGTCATGACAGCTGCTCGTTCATCAGACAGTCATGGGTTCTAGAGCACAGAGAGAGTCATGACAGCTGCTCGTACATCAGACAGTCATGGGTTCTAGAGCACAGAGAGAGTCATGACAGCTGCTCATACATCAGGCAGTCATGGGTTCTAGAGCACACAGAGAGTCATGACAGCTGCTCATACATCAGGCAGTCATGGGTTCTAGAGCACAGAGAGAGTCATGACAGCTGCTCGTACATCAGACAGTCATGGGTTCTAGAGCACAGAGAGAGTCATGACAGCTGCTCATACATCAGGCAGTCATGGGTTCTAGAGCACAGAGAGTCATGACAGCTGCTCGTTCATCAGACAGTCATGGGTTCTAGAGCACAGAGAGAGTCATGACAGCTGCTCGTACATCAGGCAGTCATGGGTTCTAGAGCACAGAGAGTCATGACAGCTGCTCGTTCATCAGACAGTCATGGGTTCTAGAGCACAGAGAGAGTCATGACAGCTGCTCGTACATCAGACAGTCATGGGTTCTAGAGCACAGAGAGAGTCATGACAGCTGCTCGTACATCAGGCAGTCATGGGTTCTAGAGCACAGAGAGAGTCATGACAGCTGCTCGTACATCAGGCAGTCATGGGTTCTAGAGCACACAGAGAGTCATGACAGCTGCTCATACATCAGACAGTCATGGGTTCTAGAGCACAGAGAGAGCCACGACAGCTGCTCGTACATCAGACAGTCATGGGTTCTAGAGCACAGAGAGAGCCACGACAGCTGCTCGTACATCAGACAGTCATGGGTTCTAGAGCACAGAGAGAGTCATGACAGCTGCTCATACATCAGGCAGTCATGGGTTCTAGAGCACAGAGAGAGTCATGACAGCTGCTCATACATCAGACAGTCATGGGTTCTAGAGCACAGAGAGTCATGACAGCTGCTCATACATCAGACAGTCATGGGTTCTAGAGCACAGAGAGAGTCATGACAGCTGCTCATACATCAGGCAGTCATGGGTTCTAGAGCACAGAGAGAGTCATGACAGCTGCTCATACATCAGGCAGTCATGGGTTCTAGAGCACAGAGAGAGTCATGATAGCTGCTCATACATCAGGCAGTCATGGGTTCTAGAGCACAGAGAGTCATGACAGCTGCTCGTACATCAGGCAGTCATGGGTTCTAGAGCACAGAGAGAGCCACGACAGCTGCTCGTACATCAGGCAGTCATGGGTTCTAGAGCACAGAGAGAGTCATGACAGCTGCTCATACATCAGGCAGTCATGGGTTCTAGAGCACAGAGAGCCACGACAGCTGCTCGTACATCAGACAGTCATGGGTTCTAGAGCACAGAGAAGGATGAACCTACACAGGCTGTTGTAAGAGACAGTCAGAAGCTGGAGAACAGAGGCAGAGATGTTTTGATAAATTCTATCACAGTAATCAAGAATGGTCTCCCCATTCTTGATGGATCTTGTGTGATCAGTTGAGAAATGATCCTCTTCTTTACTGATAAACTAAAACAGTTTATTGAATGATAAAGTAACTTTAAACGATAGGACATTTTTGTAATTGTTTGTATATGGGACTTAAAGTGATAGTCTGTAACTCTAAATCAATAACAAATTTTAAGAATTGTATTAAACTGACCTCCTGCTCTTAAATATTCATAAAGAATAAGTCATTTTATTAATTCTAATATTGTGGGTAAGTCCCGCCTTCCCTTCTCTTAGCTATAGCTCAGAATCCACGATGCCGTCCACGTTAACCAATCACGTGATGCCAAGGGCTGTCAATCAACAGCGCTGATACTCAACCTATATCCATAATCATTTATATATGAACCTATATCCATAATCATTTATATATGAACCTATATCCATAATCATTTATATATGAACCTATATCCATAATCATTTATATATGAACCTATATCCATAATCATTTATATATGAACCTATATCCATAATCATTTATATATGAACCATAGTCAGATCCTCTGCAGATGTTTCCTATAATGTGATAATAGCACTTCCTGGTTTGCCGCGATCGTTTTTTTTGTGCATAGAAACATTATTTTTGTCATGAAAACGTTAACATATGATTCTGAAAACCTCTGTGAATGTGTATTAATAATGTATAAGTATAATGTGTTCTCTCATTTACATTTAAATGTGTTACGGAAACGTAGGTGTAGACCAATCAGAAAGGAAGGGGGAGGAGCTTGGGTTGTTTTCAAATCAAGTAGCTCTCTCTCTCTTTCTGACAAACTCCAGACACTTTAAACTTTAAACTGATGAAACAGTGGTTTTGTGTTTTAATATTTCTATTTTTCTTTCTTTTTCTGCCTGAGATGTTGCTGCAGTTCTGTGTTCATGGTTTTACACTGGTCCAGACCAGAGCAGAGAGGATTCATGGTTTTACACTGGTCCAGACCAGAGCAGAGGATTCATGGTTTTACACTGGTGCAGACCAGAGCAGAGAGGATTCATGGTTTTACACTGGTCCAGACCAGAGCAGAGAGGATTCATGGTTCGAACCAAGTGGAGAGGAATGCTGACTTTTTAGAAAATGCTAACAAGGCATTCACCATTTTACTAGACCAGAGAGAGACCAGAGAGACCTGAGAGACCTGAGAGACCAGAGAGAGACCAGAGAGAGACCAGAGAGAGACCAGAGA